TGCGGAAGGACTCTTCGGATTCGCTGCGCTAGAGCTAGAGCTATCCTTTGATGATTCCTCCGAGGGTGTGTGCGGAAATAAATTTCGCAACCTCTCAAAGGCTTGTTCTATTTCAGGGTTTATTTGGTATGTGAATAGGTTAACAGAGCGAGTTTTTACCATATACTCAACAATGCTCAGAAATAGAAAAAGTAAGAACTCTTTATGTTTTATTTATTTTTTTTTGATTTTTTCTTAAAGTAAAAATAAAAGAAAAATGGTTGCCTTTCCCCGGTAACGGTGCCAAATTTGACGAGTACTTTATCGTAGTGCGTCAAAATAAATTCATTACTAACACTTATACGTAGTATAGCGTAATAGAGTTCGTATCCACAGGGAAAGGAATACTTTTCTTTTATGAAATTATTAATGAAAAGGGGGGTTTTAAGGTTGATTTGATTTAATTAAATAAACACTAAGATGAACAACTTATATGATTTAAATTAATGAGATAAAAGACTTGACTTTGCTAGTTTCTACTTATTGATATGTTTGTTGATCGCGGTCATATCTATAACTTATCCTCTCTCGAATACTCAATCGAGAAGTATCTCCAATTCATCGAGAGTAGTTATTAACAACAACCGTTCATTAATAACCCTTACTATTAAGCATGTATAAAACAACGCCATATATCGACTTGATAATATCTTTAATCTCTTAACCCCTTGATGAAATCAATTGAAGTTGATAACCTCGACACAACGGTTTCGGTTTAACCAACACAATTAATCCCTCTTAAGATTATTAACCACGACCGTGCATTAATAACCCAAAGTTACTTACTTGTGAAACCATCAATGATTAACCATCAGTTCATTGATCGTTTCTAGTAGTAATTAATGTCAAGATGTTAACTAATTGTAATCTTAGCAACACTCCCCAACATTAATGTAGAGATAGAATAAGGGAAGAATTAATATTCAAGGGAAAAAGTAAGAAAATAACTCACAACTTTAACATTCAACAAGCTTCAAGAGCAAAACCAAGAAATGGAAGTTTAGCTTCTCATTTGGAGACTAAACATGCTAGAAAAATATAAAGAAATGTTAACCTAAACTGAGATTAAGAGTATATGTGAATTGATGATCAAATGAGAAGGAAATAGGGGTGTATTTATAGGTGTTTGGAGGTAGCAGTAGGGTTGTAAACGAATCGAATAATTTTGATTCGATTCGTGATTCGTACTCGAATACTTTACGAATATGAATACAAATACTATGATATTCGATTCGAATAATATTCGAATATATTCGAATTATATATATATATATATATATATATATATATATATATATATATATATATATATATATATATATATATATATATATATATATATATATATATATATATGTGTGTGTGTGTGTGTGTGTGTGTGTGTATTCATATATTCATACAATATATACTACTTATAAATACATATAGTTCAATGTAAAAATATTAATAACAAAATATTCATGTAAATATTTTGCATATTTTAATTTAAAAATTCTTACTTTACCAGGTCAAAATAGCTTTTTCTACAATTAAAATTCTCCGTTGATTTATCTATATTGATATTAAATTTGAAGTGACTTCTATAAATGAATTTTGTTTCCTATAAAATATGTAATATGAAAATTAGTTAAAAGGGGCAAACTAACATCATAGTTTTAATTATTTTCACAAACTAACTTTAATGTTTTTTGAATCCGAATATTCAAATTCGATTCGAAAAAGATTCGAATATATCAAACGAATCGAATACGAATACAAAATAAGATTCGAATTTTAAACGAATACGAATACGAATATTCGATAATTATACGAATACGAATAATATCATCAAGTATTCGGTTCGATTCGATTCGTTTACAACCCTAGGTAGCAGGGTCATTTATCTGACCGAGTTTTTTATTTACCCGATCGGGTAAATGAGTAATTGCCCAGAATCTCCATTAGTCACATTATATTTGCCAAATCGAGTTTTTGATTTACCTGATCGGGTAAAAGTCAAACTTGATCGGTTATATGCTTTATCCGACCGAGTTTTGACTATTTTCTCACATTTTCACTTTGTCTTGTTCCCTTGCACTTTCATTGACTTTTCTAGGATCCTTTTGATGATCTTCACCTAGTTTAAGTTCAGAAAATTCCTAATCTAAACAAATTACAAGCAACTAGGAAAAATAAAGTATTACACCAAAAGAGTGTAATTTCCCAAACAACAACAAATACAACTTGTTAAAATTACAAACATAAACAATAATAATTTTGTACAATCACTAAGATAAATATAAACCTAAATAAATAATAGAATTAATAATAGAGAATATTGTTAGTTTTGTAGCATATTGTTTCCTTGTGTCTCTTTTTGTTGATAACTTTTTATTTTTTATTTTTTTATTGTTTCACCATGTTTCTAGTTGTTGTACCATTCATAAACCTAAATTTATTATTTTAGGTGTTTACACACACATGATGTTTTTAGAACCAGTAGCAAAGATACATATACATCTAAATGAATAACAAAAATAAAAATTGATTATAAACAACAATAACCAACACGATGCAACAAAATACAATGAAAAACAACATTCCGCAACAAAAAGCAACACCTGTGATGCAACAAAAAGACACAAAAATACATATAAAAATATCACAACAAATTCATGATTCAACGTATGATATCAATTTATTACATATAACTATTGTATTATTTCCCTTTGATTCTTTTCATTTAGCTTTGGAACAATTGTTGCTGGCTCCTTTGCAGAATATCACAACACATACAATTGTCGCTTCCGCTGTGTATGAGGGGGAGGATGACGACAATTTCCCAGGTTTTTCATTGATTGAAATTTCAATTCTTCAAAAAAAATTGTTGAATGAATGCCCTGCAGATTCTAGTCTCATTAGCAACATGCAAAAGATTTTTTTATCTGAAAACTTAATAATAGTTCATCTGCTAGATGTTGAAAACCCGTCATTATTAGTTTAGTTTGCTTAGTGTTTACAAATTCTATTTATGTTTAAGTTTGCCTACACTTAAATGGTTCCTATATCCCCTAAATTTTCTCTTCATCCATTTCATACTTCTACAATCAATTTCCTCACCCTATGTTTCGATTTTATAGCTAAAGTGTCCCTTGCTGTAGACATATAGACATCCTGAAAAATGGGTTTTCTGTGCATATGTGTCTAAGGCAACCTCATAATATCCTGCTAACGAAAACACTCAATTTGTTTGTTCGTGTGCCCCTCACTTCTTCAAATAAATTGTTATTGTAACTTACAACAACAACAAAACTCAAGTCTTAGTCCCAAAAAGTTGCTCTTGTAGCTTATACGGAAAATATATTAAACTAAACACTTAAATTCAAATGAAACTATGAAACATAACTTGAGGGCATAGATATCCATACCGGCACATTCATACTCCTTCAATTAACAAAAGCATTAGATTGCAGATTTTAACCAATTGGCTCAAATATTATAACAGATTCCTTGAGTTTGGAAATAGATGCATTGGAGTTTGAATCTTGCATTCGATCAACAATTTCCCTATGATTGGTAGCTTTAATTTGTTTCTCTAGTTTCCTGCTTGTCTGCTAATATCAGAATCTCTGAAGCGGATAAAGATGTTTAATGCAGAAAAGTACCAATTTCGATTGATTCTAGCATATAAACAAAGCAGTGAACTGTTTTTGTGTGTCATTTCTCATCCTCTTAATGGTCATGTTAGTATGTACGGCTGACTATACATGAATTAAGACAACTTCTCAAGTAACAAGAGACTATACATTGTCAATCACTTCCACAAATGAAGTTGAGAGATTATACAATGACATTAATAAATCTGCTTCTCAGATTCAAGGCACGAAACAACTAGCTGCTCAATCTCAACCCCGTGCTATGGAGCGTTCATAGTTAATGTTTAAGCAGAAAATAATTATTCTACTAAAAATCTATTTGTGAGATAGGGAATCGTACAAGATAATATTCAACGAACGTATGATCAACGGATGAATCAATATTAATCAATTTTCGAATGAAAAACAAGAATGAGTATATTTAGTGAGCCAAAGGATCATGCCTCCTCCCTTCTACCGCTAGTCTATTTAAAATAAAAGTTTTAGCCTTATCCCCCCACATGGATGAACTGCCCGGCGAAATGATAGCCTTTCCTACTAAAGCGGGAACCGTTCCTCCATTTTCTCCTCAACCTCTTAGGCCTCCTTATCCATTCCGTCACCTTATTTGATTAAGCCAGACTCTGTAAAACTCTTATGGCTACGTGGGCCGATCCGTTCAACAAATCCAAACCCAACAATGGGCCGATTCGCTTGACAAATCCGGGCCCAACAATTGCCCCTAAAATTCGAAGTAGTAAACGTTGCTAACTTAATCCAATAGGTCGGTTACTTCTTTGAATTTTAAACGTTTTGATGCCACCTCGAAATAGACAAAACCGTCAGTCTCCTTCATCGAGCAGCCAACCTTTTGTCAGACTAGCCCCTTTTCAGTCATAACCCCTCTTCTTCGAATATAACTTTCGTCTAATTCTTGCAAAAACTCATTGTGAGAATCCATGGCGTCTCAACAGTTTATCCCTCAACACATCCTGGATCCGAAGAATGCAAAACAGGCCAAACTCTCTGAAAGTCATATCGACGCTATCAAGAACGGTTCCGGATTTCCAGCGCATGCATCCATCCGGTTTCCGGCCGCCAACGAACGGGTTGATTGGCATTGCGATGGTTGGGTCAACTTCTTCATGTACCCCTTCAAGATTGGTATGAAGTTTCCTTTTTCTTCCTTAGCTAGAGATTTCTTGGCCTTTGTCAAAGTTTCCCCTTCCCAAATAATGCCACAAGTATGGAGGGTTCTGCGTGGTTTGGAAGTATTGAGTGAAAAACACAGCATCCCCTTTACCTTCGAAGATCTGGGCTTCACCTATGATCTTCGTTCTTCTGGAGCTGGACGGTTCACCCTGGCTGTCAAAGATGCTCGCGAAGCGCTGATATTGAGGGCGGACAAAGCTAATGATCGCGGCTGGATGAGTCTGTTCTTCTTTGTACAGAAAGATTCCCTAGGTTCTGAGGGTGCGTTTCTTGAAGAGAGTTTACACAAAGGTATCTTGACACTTTCTTGCTTTACATATGAATTTCAAATGTATTTAGTTGCTATATGACTGGTCTGTAATATGTCAAAATGCATTACCGTTTCCATTGTTGGTTTTTGTAGATAGAAAGACTATCCCACTGAGCTATGGTCCGAACTCTGAAGGAAGGACTGCCAGAATTTTATCTATAACCACCGCCGAGCGGACCTTTGGGAATCTAGTGGCTGATAACAAAGGTATGTCTCCCACCCCTGACCATTCTCGGTCCGTTGGATTAAGGCGTTCTCGCCGTAATATTCAGAATGTCCCTAACGATGTCCAAGGCTCGCGTGCGGTCTCCGTAGACGATTCAGACCATGAATCAGAAGCTTCAAGGGGTGGAGGTGAAAATGCAAGTGCCTTTGTTCCTCTTCAAATGGTGTTTCCCGTTGGTCAGGACTCTTGTTCTCTTCCAGCGAAACGTTCTGCTCAACATGCTGGTACTTGTTCCTGTTATTTCAATTATACGTCAAATGCTGCTTTGTCTAGAACGTTAATATATGTACATATTTTCTTTTATCACAGCTGTTTCCTCGTCTAGCACGCGGCTGATGCCTTCTGATTATGACCTCCTTAACATGATTTCAAGAAAAAAGAAAGTTCCATCTAAGCTGGCCTCTGGCTGTTCCAAAGCTCCACATTGCCCGAATATTGAGATGAAAACTGCTCCTCCTCTTCCAGTGAATGCCGCCGCCAATCCTGACTCTGGTGTGAAGATGAACGCCTCTTTTTCTCGTGACTTTTGCTGTTTGAAGGACGCTCTTATGATGAGAAGTGAAATGCCTCAAGTTCTGCTTCCCTCCTCGTCTGCTGCATTTTCGGATGTCTCTTCAGCTGGCCTGGCGTTGGCTTCATCGGCCTACGCTTTCCAGGTACCTTATCGCTTTATAAATGTTTAGTATTTTTCTAAATTTAAACTTCCTTTTAACGAGAATTCTTTCAAACTGGCAGAGTGTTCAAGCTAGCCTTGTTGCTGCAGAAAGATTGGTTTTGTTGGAAAAGGCTGTGGATGAAGGAAAAGAGAAAAGTTCTCAAGCTCGTGCTGACGTTGATGCTCGAATGATCCAAAGTCTTCGTGGTGACAACTCGACTTTAACAAATCAAATTTCGACCCTAAAACCCCGTATCAAGTTGTTGGAGGCGTATGGGAGGAAAAAGAAACAAGAAGTTACTGACGCGGCCTGTTTTTATGCTTGGAAGACCAGGGGTGAACTGATGGCTTCATTCCTCGCAGGTGAGATGTCAAGCTGGACTGCGGAACAGGATGTTGCTACCTGGTTAAAGCTTCAAGAAGAGATGGATCCCCTGATTGGAGAAGATGGTTTTGACGTAGGCCAGTCTGATAATGAAGCTGAGTCCAGACGCTCCTGAGATAACTAAATGCGCTCTTTCCTCTCTACTTTCTTGACTTTAAACACTTTTTTCTTTCAAAACTTACTCTGTTATTACTGCCCTTGCATTATGGTTTCCTGTCAGGAAATTTAATGTTTCCCTGCGAATTCATGGATCTTGTGCTTGGTGGTTTATCCAAGCCAAGTCCATGTTGTTTTGCGATTCCGTCGCTACTCCTTTTTATCACCTGAATCCTGTTTTTGTTAATGCGTGTGTTGTCGTATATGTCGCTTATGTGTGCAACATGCCATGTGTGTGTAGAGTCATATATGTGTTTGTGTTTGTGTTTTGGCCAAAACTTATTCAGTTTCATGGAACTTCATTCATGGTTTTTCCATAATGAGCCCCATGTCCCCTGTACATTGATGTTTTGTCATGAGCAGATTTGGATGTTCTACCTGTCGTTCTGGCGCCTGTGTCACCTGGTATTCAGATCTTAACCTGTCATAATCCTGCGATGATACCGTACCGTTGGGGTCGACCACTTGCTTGGGGTCAACGGCCCTCCGACGGTCAAGTTAGTAATCGATGAATTGTATTTACTGCATCCAAGATTATGTGAAACGTAACTAATTACCTGTGACTTTGCCGTTTTTGTGTCTTCCTGTATCTACAATTATTGTTAGGGTCGGTCATTGGCCTTAAGCCAACGGCCCTCCGACGGTCAAGTTAGTTACTTTATTTAGCAACAGGAATAGATATGCAGGAAAGAAGAGAACTTATATTAAAAATGAAAATGTTTTAAATGTACCGCATTCCAACTTCGAGGGATTCGATTACCATCGATTGATTCCAGACGGTATGCCCCTTGACCAACAATGTCAATGATTTTGTAAGGCCCTTCCCAATTTGGACTAAACTTTCCAGCCGCTTCGTTGCCAAATTCTCTCCTCAAGACCCGGTCTCCCCTCTTGAATACTTTTACTCGGACGTTTTTGTTATAGCTTTTCGCAACCATTTGTTGATATGTCTGCAAGCGAATCTTGGCTCGTTCACGGATCTCATCAATGGTGTCCAAGTCATGTGTCAACTCTACATTGTTCAATTCCTCAGTCATGAGTCCATATCTTGAAGAAGGTACTTCAATTTCAACAGGAATTACTGCTTCGCAGCCATACACAAGAGAGAATGGGGTCTGCCCGGTTGCATTTTTTGGAGTTGTCATGTCTGCCCATAGTATTAAAGGCAACTCGTCGGCCCACCTGCCTTGCGCCTTTTCAAGCTTTTTCTTTAAGTTGTTAATGATGATTTTATTGCTAGATTCAGCCTGTCCATTAGATTGTGGGTACCTGGGTGTCGATGTTTCCAATTTGATATTGTAACTCTCGCAAAAACGTCTTGTTTTAGCACTTATGAATTGAGATCCGTTGTCACAAACGATTTCTGACGGGACGCCGAACCTGCAAAGTATGTTTCTCTTGATAAACGAAATTACTTGGTCATCTCGAATCTGACGGAATGGCTCAGCCTCCACCCATTTTGAAAAATAATCCGTCAATGCCAGCATATATACTTTCTGCCCCGGTGCCTCTGGCAATTTTCCTACGATGTCCATACCCCATTTCATAAAGGGCCATGGTGATAAGACTGGATGAAGCGACTCAGAAGGTTGATGACGGATTGGTCCGTGTAGCTGACAAGGCTTGCATCTTTGAGTGAAAATGGCTGCGTCTTCTCTCATGGTCGGCCAGTAGTATCCAAATCTAAGAGCCTTGTTAGACAGACTTTGCCCGGCTGCGTGGTTGCCACATTCCCCTTCATGAAGGTTTTTTAGCACTTTGATGGCTTCTTGAGGTGTCAGACATCTTTGATACGGGCCTGCGACAGATCTTTTAAATAGAACACTGTCAATTAGTAGAAATTTTCTCACCTTAGATAGGAAAGCTTTGGCCTCTTTTTTGTCTTCCGAGAGAGTATTGTGCTTTAGATATGCTATGTATTGTTGCGTCCAGTCTCCCTGTGCCGAGAGTTCGATGGTAGAGACAACCTCTGATCTGTAAATTGCTGGACTCATCAAGTGCACATAAGGGATGTTGCGATTAATTTCTGCCCCCAGACATGATCCGACCGCAGCCCGAGCGTCAGCTTGTGTGTTTCTTCACGTGGGACTTGTTCAAGGGTTATCTCATCAAACGCTGTTATCAATTCTCGGACAATTTGCAAATAAGATGTCATCTTGGGGTCTTTTGCTGCGTATACACCATTAGTTTGATTAATTATCAGTAAAGAGTCGCATTTTACCTCCAAGATTTTGACGCCCAAGTCCCTTGCCAACGTGAGTCCGACGATCAGTGCCTCGTACTCTGCCTCATTATTTGTAGCGGTGAAATCACAGTGTACTGCTTGGAGCATGGTGTCCCCTTGTGGTGACTTTAGTACCACGCCCAGGCCTGCGCCGTTCTGGTTCGACGCTCCGTCAGTATGCAACGTCCATTTTTGCTTTGGTAAGCCGTCGATCAGAGTGCAGGTCTCTTTTTCTGACTCCTCTTGGAGATTTGGACTGAAGTTTGCCACAAAATCTGCAAGTGACTGTGATTTCAGGGCTGTTCTTGGTTCAAATCTTATGTCATATGCTCCAAGTTGAATCGACCATTTAGCCATGCGACCTGTCAATTCTGGTTTCCTCATGATTGACTTCATGGGATAATTAGTTCTAACACAAATGGTATGTGATTCAAAATAAGGGCGTAATTTAATCGAAGCAACGACCAAAGCTAAAACTAACTTTTCAAGTAAGGCGTACCTGGATTCCGGGCCATTTAGGGATTTACTTACATAATAGACTGGAGTTTGCTGCCCTTGTTCTTCTTTTGTCAATACTGCACTAACGGCGTGCTCTGAAACGGCCAGATAAAGTTGCAATTCATCTTCGTCTTTGGGTTTTGCGAGCAGCGGTGGCGACATCATGTATTCTTTTAATTGCTGAAGTGCCTGTTTGTGCCGATCTGTCCATTCGAATTTTTTGTTCTTTCTCAAGACGTCATAAAACAAATGGCACCTGTCTGATGACTTCGAAATGAAACGATTCAAAGCCACGACTCGTCCCGTCAACCTCTGGACATCTTTGACGGATTTTGGGGATTCAATGTCAATAATTGCCCGTATTTGTTCCGGGCTTGCCTCTATTCCTCGTTCACTGACGATATATCCTAAAAATTCCCCTGACGTCACCCCAAAAGTACATTTCGCTGGATTGATCTTCAGGTTGTATTTCTTCAGCCTTCTGAAGGGTTCTGTCAGGTGATAGATATGATCCTCTTTCTTCTTTGATTTGACTATCATGTCGTCAATATAAACTTCCATGGTATCCCCCATCAGATCTTTGAACATTAAGGTAGCTAGCCTCTGAAATGTCGCACCTGCATTTTTTAGTCCAAAAGGCATAACAACATAACAATACGTACCTGTCTCCGTGATGAAGGCTGTGCTTTCTTGGTCATCGGGGTGAAGTTGTATTTGATGGTAACCACTGAATGCGTCCATGAAGGATAGCATTTCGTGCCCTGCCGTAGCGTCACCTAATGCGTCAATGTGTGGCATCGGAAATGAGTCTTTGGGACATGCTTTGTTTAGGTCAGTGAAGTCCACACAGACTCTCCATTTGACTGGCTTGCCTTCCTCCTGCCCTTTCTTTTTCTGAACAACAACATTGGCTAACCAATCGGGGTATTTTATCTCCTTTACCTTTCCGGTTCGAAGCAGCGTATCAACTTCCTGATTGATAATGGCATTCCTCTCTTTTGCAAAGCGTCTTCTTTTATGTCTGACGGGTTTGTGTGATGGGCTGACGTTTAACCTGTGAGTTATGATATTAGGATCAATACCTGTCATGTCGTCGTGACTCCAGGCAAATACGTTTTTATGTTCTTTGAGGAAGTTTATCAGTTCGTCTTCGAGGTGCTCTGGCATGTCTTTCCCGATGCGGATGACCCTTTCTGGATGTTCCGGGTCGA